GACATAGCCATTACGCTAACTGCTGGTTCCCCAGAACCTTTTTTTTTTTTTAAGAATTATTTTATTTAACTTTATTTATTTATTTAAACCTGACCAGAGAGAGACAGCGTGAGAGAGAGAGAGGAAAAGTGGGAAAGAGGGCCGCCAGGTCCAAGACTCACACCGCGGTCAGCCATGTGGGAGTGCAGCACCTTAACCACCACGCCACCTGCTGGCCCCTCCAGCACTTGTCATGTTCCCGAAATGGAGCTGTCCCCATTATACACGCGCCCTGTTCCGCTCCCCCAGGCCCTGCACCCTCCGTTCTACTGTCCGTCTCTGAGTGTGGCTCCTCTGAGCCCCCCGTCAGTGGAGTGAGGCGATCTTTGTCCTTTGCCCCAGCGTGCCGTCCTCGGGGCTCGTCCATGTCAGCTTCCTTCTGGGATAAGGTTGAGCCGTGTCAGTATGGGTGGACCCTGTTTGTTTCTCTGTGTCCCTGTCCCTGCACCTGTTAGCTGCTGCGAGTGTGGGTGTCTGAGGACGTTTCCTCTTGGGTGTCCCCTTAGAGTGGCCTTGCCGTGAGCGCACGCGCGCTCTGAGAATCCTGGAAGAGGCAGAGAGCAGAGGGAGAGCCCACGCACATACTCAGCCTCTCCCGACGGCCGACAGGCAGCGGGCCAGCCGTGGGCTGCCGGAGGGCCTCTTCTCAGCGCGCACCTTCCCGGACGCCCGGGTTTTTAACACATGCAGCTGTGTTTTTTGAACCCGCGATGTCTAGTCAGTCAGTCAGCAGAGGCCTGGCTCTGTCTTTTCTCTCCCCTGGGTGTGCTCGTCCTAGGAGAGTGGGAGCATGCAGGTCGTTGGGGAACGACGTGCCACGGCGTCGGCCTGCTCTCCCGAGGTTCTTGAACTTGCTGATGTCCTGCTCCCGCAGGAGGCGCCTGTGGGCAGTCTGGCAGCAGTGGGGGGTGGAGAACCCGCCCGGCGCTGCCACCTCAGGCAGGAGCAGCACCCGGGCGGGCTGAGCAGGGGTGGCCAGGGCCCGGCTCACAGTCTCTGCCCACAGCACCAGAACGGCATGTACGGGCTGCACCAGGACCTGCACCACTTCTCCTCCTTCGACAAGGTGCAGAGCCTGCCGCTGCTGCTCCGCCAAGCCGGCGTGCGCACAGGTGAGGCTTCGAGCCTTGTCCCAAGTGCCCTGTCACCTGCCCCGGGCACTTGTCCCTGAGGGCCAGGGCCACCTGGTGGGGAAGTGGGTCCTCGGAGCCAAGGGCCTGGGCCGCCAGCGTGTTGGCCACCGGGGCTGGCAGCTTAGTGGGGTGGAGAATGAACAGGGAGCGGAGGCTGAGCGGGGCCCTGGGCCGGCCTCTTCCCCACAGGCATCATCGGGAAGAAGCACGTGGGGCCCGAGGCGGTGTTCCCCTTTGACTTCGCCTACACAGAGGAGAACGGCTCTGTCCTCCAGGTGGGGCGGAACATCACCAGAATTAAGCTGCTAGTCCGGAAGTTTCTGCAGACTCAGGACGACAGGTGCAAGGCAGGGCCCCTGCCCCCGTCCCTCCCCCCTGGCGGGATCTCCCAGTGGTAACCCAGTACACACATCCCACAGTCTTCAGCTGGGATCCTTGGAGCCTCCAGAGAGGGTGGGAGTCGGGGAGAAGGTTCTGGATACTCTATCTAGTCTGTTCAGAGAAAGAGGGGATGCAGAAAACTGAGGCAGTGAAGGTCACAGGGAGACTTCCAGCCAGTGGGAATTGGCAAAGCCAGGAGGTCTGTCCTGTCTGAAGAACAGGCTTCAGTCTAGGGAGGCCAGGATGGGCTCAGCCATGTGGCAGCTGGCCACTGACCTGGCCCCTGGCCCCAAAACCTCTTCCCCACGTGCAGGCCCTTCTTCCTCTATGTCGCCTTCCACGACCCGCACCGCTGCGGACACTCCCAGCCCCAGTACGGGGCCTTCTGTGAGAAGTTCGGCAACGGAGAAAGCGGGATGGGGCGCATCCCAGACTGGAGCCCCCAGGCCTACGCCCCTCAGGACGTGCTGGTAGGAGGTCCTCACCCTGTTTTCAGGATACCCACACTAGGTCTAGGGACCCAGTCTCGCCCCAGATGGTGGGCTATCAGCACCGTGGAGAGACCCTCCGGCCAGGCTGGACTCAGGCCCTATCCGAGGGGCCGCAGAGAAGAGACGTGGCCTGAAGGATCCAGATGTTTGGGTCGATCCATTCCTGGGTGGGGGGTTGTGCTTGGGAGAAGGCTGGCACTCTCCCCCACTCTCCTCACTCCTCCTCCCCCCCCACCTCCTCTTCTGCCCTCGCCCCTCCCACCTGCCTGTCAGGTGCCTTACTTCATCCCTGACACCCCAGCCGCCCGAGCCGACCTGGCTGCTCAGTATACCACCACCGGCCGCATGGACCAAGGTGGGTGTGCGGGGCCAGAGGTCTGACAGCAGCCGCGGGCCATGCTCCCTGCAGCAGGGTGGGTTGGGGGCCTTTCCTTTCCGCATGGTGGCGTCCTGGGTGCCCCCCTCCGGCCACGCTGCTGCTCCCCATCACCATCTTCACGGGCCCTTCTTGCCTGTGTCTTTTTGCTCACGAGGTACCTCTGGGGGACAGGCTGCCCCAGGCTTCCCGGGCCTCCTGCCTCAACATCCTTCATAGCTGACTTGTGTCTGCAAAGGCCCTTTGCGAACAAGGCCACCTTCGCTGAGTGGACACACATTGGGGACCACTGTTGAGCCCAACTTGCCATTTTCCTGTTGGTGCCACTCCTTTGTGGTGACCTGGGGTGGGGGGTGTAGAGGAACTCTTCTCCTCCACCCCTGCCCAAGGGACAGACGTGAGAGTTCAGAAAACAGAAGTCAGGGGGACAGCAGGCAGCTGCATGGGTTGACACAGAGGTGCGGAGGGTGGGGCAACCCTGGTCCTGGGAGGCCCACGGGAGCCTGTTCGAGGGCGAGGAGCGGGCTGTGCTGGGCAACAGGCCTCTGCCAGTGGGAGGGCACAGGGAGACTGACGGTCCAGAGTGACAGTGCAGGGCTGGATGTGGCGAGGGCAGGCCCTCCCAACCCAGGTCTCTGGTGAGTCTCACCTGAGCTCTCCGCCGGCCCCTGCAGGGGTGGGGCTGGTTCTCCAGGAGCTGCGTGGAGCAGGGGTCCTGAACGACACGCTTGTGATCTTCACGTCTGACAACGGAGTCCCCTTCCCCAGTGGCAGGACCAACCTGTACTGGCCGGGGACTGCCGAGCCCTTGCTGGTGTCATCCCCAGAGCACCGGCGACGCTGGGGCCAGGTCAGCGACGCCTACGTGAGCCTCCTTGGTATGGCCCTGTCCTTTTCATGCGGGCAGGGTGGGGGGCATTTGACGGGACCACTGTGTGCCTGGCGTTGCTCTGTGCCCGTGACCTGTGGCTCTCCTGCTGCCTGAGCGAGGAGCACATCTCCCCAACTCCACGGCTGGGGCAAAGGAGGCCCAGAGAGGTGAGCCAGGTGCCCCGGGTCACACGGCTCGTAAGCAGCAAGGTTCCCTTACACCGCACATAAGCCGCAGGATCACCCGGGGTGCTTGCTGATGTCCAAGCTGCGACCCCCAGAGTATCCACCTCAGTAGGTGTGTTGAGGGGGACAATGCAGGCCCCGAAGATACCAATTCTGCAGGCCCAGGGACCCTGCTTGGGGAACCATTGCACCCACATATCTGCCACCCCAGGGACCCAGAGCAATTCTTTTTTTTTTCTTACTGCAGTCATCAAATAGGTATTTTAAATGTATTTTTTTTTAATTTCAAGAAAAACAGTTTTCATGGGCTTTTTTTAAAAACTTTTTTAGGGAACCAGCAGTTAGCGTAATGGCTATGTCGCTGGACTCCCATGTAGTCGACCGCGGTTCGCGTCCCGGACCCAGTGGGTTAAAACTCACACCTGGCGCGTGTGCGTGCATGCCCAAGATCCCGAGAGGAGAACGGAGGAAAAGGGATTGCGGCGTGACCATCCCCGCTGGGGGGTGATTTCTCACTTTCTGTCTCTATGTCTCTCTCTGTCTATCTGGCGAGCGCACGTGCCCTGTAGTGAAAAACCTCTCAAAAAAACCCCCAAAAAAACAGAAAAACAACAAAAAAAACAAAACCCTTGGGATGCTGTGTTTCTGTCTCCCTGCCTCGTGCTCATGGAATTAAAAAACATAGTGGCTTAATCCATCATGCATGTTATCATCAATAATTTTCCATGTCTAGTTTCATATAACCCGTATTTCTGACTCTCTGCCCTTTCCCACCCTCTTCTCACACTATCTCTGGTGTCTACAGTTGTCTTCCATTCCTTTCCCCCCCACATTTTGTTGATCACACAATTTCTTAAGTAATCTAACTACTTTCAATAGCAAGTTCAGCTGGTAATTTCAAGAAAAGTAGTTTCAACTTTAATAAATCAAAGAAATGCTAAGGAACTTTACTTAAAACCTAAAGCCAGGAAACAGGATTCTGTTCAAATGGTAGGTACCTGAACCTACCGACAGCTCAAGACAGGACAAAAATCTTTAAAACCGGACAACAAAGCCTAGAAGAAAATCAAGAATATTTTAGTCAAAAGTCATAAAATGCCATTTCACCAGTTCAGTCCCTTGTACTTAATCTCTTGTGTTGTTGTTCGAGCTTCCCGATTGAATCCTGGGATATAATATTCAACTCCAGACTTGTCCCTATGATTAAGTTGGCCACTTTCTTAGTTTTTAAACTCTTATTTCTGTTTATCTGTATTAATTTTCCTGATACAGCACCCCCTTGAGAACTTCTTAGAGATCTGGTCTGGTGCTGGTTAATTCTTTCAGGTTTTGATAATCTGAGAATGTTCTTGTCTTTTCTTCCCATATGAAGGGTAGTCTTGCTGGGTACAGTATTCTTGGTTGAAATTGCTTTCCCCTTAACACTTTGAATATATTTTCCCATTCTCTCCTCACTCACATTGTTTCTGATGAGAGGTCTGCTGTTAGCCTGATGGGATATCTTTTGTAGGTAACTTGCCATTTTTTTCTTGCCAATCTTAGTATCTTGTCTTTGTCTGCGGTTTTGGTCAACCTGGCTATAATGTGTCTTGGAGAAGATCTTCTTGGGTTGATTTTATTTGGGACCCTTTGTATTTCTTGGGACTGGATCTTCGAGTGCCTCTCTAGGTTTGGAAAGTATTCTTGCAGGATTTCATGGAATAGATTATCAATGCTCTTATGAGGCTCTTTGCCTTCTGGGATGCCAATTATCTGGATGTTTGGACGTTTGATGATATCTAGCATTTCTCATATATTATTCTCATTTTGGGGGGCAATTTTCTCAGTCTTCGTGGTGGATTTTTTAGGCCAGCAATTTTCTTGTCTACGACTGAGATTCTATTTTCTATATGATCTAGTCTGCTTTTAATACTTTGAAGGGAGATTTTGACTTCCTGTATTATAGCCTTCATTTCTAATAGGTCCATTTGATTCTTTTGTAAAGCGTGTAATTCCTCTTTTAGATCTTGCAAGAATTTCCTCACCTCCTGGAACTCATCATCTTTCTCCTTTCTCTTCTGCAGTTCACTGTCTCTCTTCTCTTCCAGTTTCTTGTTTTCCCATATTCCCTGTGGCCCTGAGGTGATTTCTAGTCATCTGATGGATGGTGTGTTTCTTCCTAAACTTGAAGTTCAATCTGAGAGTTCAGGAGCGTGCAGAAGGTGATCTGGAATCTGGCATTCTGCTTTGATCCTTTGCGCAGCAGATTCAGTAGGTATTGAGGAATATGCTAACCCTAATAGTATTTGGATGTTTGGCTACAATTCCCTTAAATCCATCTATAAACACAGTGAATGGAGATTGAAGAGCAGAGAGGGGAGATAAAAGAAAAAGAAAAGGAAACGGAGAGAGAGAAATAACAACAACCAAGAAACAGAAAAAAAGGGAAAAAAATTATTTAAAAAAAAATAGAAAACCACGCAGAGCGCAAGCATGTCGCATGAATCACTTGTTCTCAGGAGCTGTGGAGGTGTCTTCTGAAGGCCTGCCCCTAGGGGGAGAGGGGATTATTAACAAGATAACGGTAAAGAAAGAGCTGAGAGCCGAGAAAATACCGTAAAAAAATTTTAAAGGAAAAAATTACACAAAAAAGAGAAGACAGAGACAGAGAGACAGAGATAGATACAGAGACAGAGAAGGCTTGAGGGGCTTCCGACCACTTGAGTTTGTGGGCTGGAGGCTGAACGATCGGTAGAAAATCTTCATTTCTCTTTTTTCCCTGATATCACTAGTTCTCGGGAGCCATGAAGGTGTCTTCTTCTGAAGGCCTGCCCCTTGCCTCTCTTGCCCCAGAGCACTTCTGCTCCTCAGAAGTCCTGAGGACATTTAGCCCCCCAGGGTCGATGCGTGGACAGGTCCACTGGTGTGGGAGACTGGGACGAGGCCCCCAGCCATGCCCAGAAGAGCCTTGGCAGGGCTGGAGCTGGGAGTGTTCCACAGAGCCGCAGTAAACGAGCCCTCCCGAGCGGGCTTCCTTCCTGGCCCGTAGGATTTTAGGAGAATCCCAAGTACCACCCAATCGGGGTCCCTGTTACACCCCGGAAGGCGCCATGGCTCAGGAAGGACACTCCAGCAAGCGGTGCCTCCTATGGTCGTCTTGGTGGTCTGGGTCACCAATCCCCAGTGCAGCTTAGGGACAGCCTGTCCAGGGTCGGGCCCCGTGCCTGCAGGTCCCCCACGCTGAGACGCCACTTCCTTTCCAGACCTCACGCCCACTGTCCTGGACTGGTTCTCCATCCCCTACCCCAGCTATGCCATCTTTGGCTCAAAGACCGTCCGGCTCACTGGCCGGTCCCTCCTGCCAGTGCTGGAGGCAGAGCCCCCGTGGACCACTGTCTTCGGCAGCCAGAGCCACCATGAGGTCACCATGGCCTACCCCATGCGGTCTGTCCACCACCAGAACTTCCGCCTCGTGCACAACCTCAACTTCAAGATGCCGTTCCCCATCGACCAGGACTTCTACGTCTCGCCGACCTTTCAGGACCTCCTGAACCGCACGGTGGCCGGCCGGCCCACGGGCTGGTACAAGGACCTCCACCATTACTACTACCGGGATCGCTGGGAGCTCTACGACCAGAGCCGGGACCCCCACGAGACCCACAACCTGGCTGGCGACCCGCGCTTTGCCCAGGTCCTGGAACTGCTCAAGGCCCGACTGGCCAAGTGGCAGTGGGAGACCCAGGACCCCTGGGTGTGCGCCCCCGACGGCGTGCTGGAGGACAGCCTCACTCCCCAGTGCCGGCCACTCTACAACGAGCTGTGACGTGCCGCTGAGGACGGGGTAGTGATGACAGCGCACGCTCTCCACCGCCCCCCTGACGAGGGCTGGTCCGGGGTGCTGGCGTCCTTCCTGCCTCTGCCTGGGGGACCAGTATGTGCCCGGCCCCTTCCTTTCCCAGGGTGGTGCCGGAGAAGGGGCACTGCATCTAGGCATGGGGATTCTGGGAGACGCTGGGACAGGGCAGGGACCCACAGATGTAGGGGCAGGGATCAGGTCCCGGGACATTTTAGTCTTTGGAAGCAGCCTCTGAGCCGTCCTGAGAAGAGGTGGGGGTTCTGTATGCCAGGTGGTGAGGGGCCGGCGTGGGTGTCTGGCCCTGGCCCACCTCCTCTGGAAGCCTTTGAGACCCTTCGGTGCTCCAGTTAGGTACTGGCCCTGGGGGTCGCCACCAGGCCCAGGCTCCCTGGATGACAAGATTGAGCCTGTGGTCTTCCTGGGTAAATATGAAAGTATGGAGACGCCCAGTCCCCTGGCTCGGGTGGTCCTCACACCAGTGCCCCGGGCACAGACATTGCCCACAGAATGCCCTGCCTGCCTCCCTGCGGCAGAAAACTGGGCCCGGAAAACCCAGAAGGTGAGGGCCGCCCTTCACCCTTCCCTGCCCCTGGACCTCGTACTGGGAGCGACAGGCCAGAGTACGGTAAAGGCTTTTCATTGTAGTGAAACACGGAGGCTCGTTTTCTAAACTCGTTTGTGAGCATGTCAACCTGAACGTCTTCCTGGTTCAGGGACACGCTATCAGAATGACATCAAGCCTACAACAGTCCCGGAGGACGGAGGCCTGGCCAGGAGGGGCCTGGTCCTCAGCTGAGCTGTGCCCGAGCAGCTCTCGTAGACGCCTGGCACCACGAAGGGCCTGGCTGCGGTGCTGGGCTGGGGGAGGCGGTTCCCAGGCGCAGGAGGGGTCGGGCCCTTGTACAGAGGTGTCTGTCCGGGCTTCTCCAGGACATGCCCATGGGTCCCTGGCCCAGACCACTGGAAACATTGCCTCCCTCACCTGGAAACTAAAGGGCGGACATACGGGCCTCTGAAGGAGAGCTACCGAGGGGGCTGGGGGAGTGAGCAGGTTCTGCCATCGGTGGTGCCGTTGGTGGGTTTGTGTCTCTGCTGTGGGCAGGGGCGACAGCGACCTGGGGGCACCAGGCCCAAGGGCTGACTGCCTCCGCAGGCCCTGCCAAGCCCTGTGGCCCCTCGAAGTGCAGGAGGAACGTGTGGTACCTTTGGCTCAGTCAGGTCTGTAGGCAGAGGGTGCTGGGGAGGGGCGGGAAGGCCCCTTTGCAGTGAGCTTGGGGTCTCTGGCGCGGACATGCCCAGCCCGGAGATGGTTTACTCAGGAAGGTGGAGCAGGAAGAACACTTTTGCCGTCCAGGGGGAAAGGGCTGGCCTGTGCTGAATGGCCCCAAAGACAGGACCAGGAAGGTCCCTCAACCCCAGGAGGGGCTCTGGGGCATCAGTGGGAGCTCTGCTCTGTCCATACCACCTTCTTCTGCTCGTCTGCCACAACAAGGCGGACACAGCCAAGCAGGCCGTCCAGGTCGCTCCAGCTGTCGGGGGCCAGGCTGCTGTAGAGACAGGGTGCCTTGTCCAGGTCTCCCTCCTCCTGCCGGGCCGCCTCCAGGAGCTGCTCTTCTGAGGTGCCGAGCCGCTGCAGGCCCTTCCTGCAGGGGCCAGAGACAGCAGGGTGGGCTGAGGAAAAGCAGGGTCACCTGGACAGGGACCCGGGCCGAGCTTCCCAGCATGGCGCCCAGGACGCTGCGGCTGCCTGGGGCCCGGCCAGAGGCACAGGTGGCACTGCCCACCCCTGGGTGCAGTGGATTCTGCTTCAAGGGATCGTGTAAGGTTGGACCTGGCCTCAGATGGTGGTCCACAGACTGGGGCCCTGGGGGCAGGCGGCAGGCGGGCTGGAGCGCAGGCCTAGTTCTCCAAGTACAGAGCGGGAGCAGGACTTCTCGGTTTCCCTCCAGCCTGTTTTCCACTTCTCTCCTCACCTGCCCCACGTTAGCTGGTGCTGAGCCCCAGGAAAGGTGGGGCCTTGGGCTGAGGCCTGCAGGGTCTCAGAGGCTGCTCCCAGGGGGAGGACCAGGGGACCTTGTCCTGAAGCCCCCGCTCCAGTACCCTGGGGCCCTGAGCAGGACTCGCGGGCCTTCCTGGAAGCCGCTCAAGCCGCCCTGCACACCTGAGTTTCTTCGCTGCCTTCTCGTTGACAGAGATGTGGATGATGATGGGGAAGATTTCCACCCGGTGCAGGGCGTGCACGCTGCCTAGCCGGAGGTCCAGGAGGGCGTGAGTGTTCTTGCGGGAGGAGGGAGAAGTGAGGCAGGGTCTCGGTCACAAAAGGAGCCCACACCCAGATCTGAAAAGGAGCCAGGCCGCCTGCCTTGCGACCTGCAGTGCGCCCTGTTGGGTTTTCCCTGGGAATCTAGGAACTGCGAGCCTGGTCAGCCCCGGGGGGAAGGGCGGCCCCACACCTTGAGTAGGTGCAGAACTTTCTAGTCCACAGCCGGCTTCCCCACTCACAGGTACTTATCTCATACAGCGGAGGAAACAGCCTCGTGGATGTAAAAGGCTCCTTGGAGGCCGCGCAGGCCTGGAGTGGCAGAAGCTAGGTCTGGTCTGTGTGTGGTCCCCCACAGGGCTCTGCGCCAGGTCTGGAGCCCCAGAGGTTGCCCCCCGCCCCAGCCTCCATCCCATCTGGCAGCCAGCTCCTCTGTGTTGCCCTCCAACTCCTCCCTCCCACAGCGCCCCGGGCCCTGCCCTTACCTTGTCCATGAGCGACTCTACAGCGTGGCGGGTCACCCAGCAGTGGCCACCGGCTGGCTCTCCTTCCTGGATGACATCCCCTCTCTGGCTCCAGGCATCATACTCCTCCTGGCTCAAGTACTCTGGAGGTGACAGAGCTGTCATACCCAGTGGTACAGGCGTCCTGAGTGAGCCCAGCTGAACACCCTGGGGACCCCTCTGCGAGCTCCTCCTGGGTGCCCACTTTGTGCCCGACCCTGCTCTTCCCAGCGGGGAGCCCACGCCCCACATCCACCGAGCTGTGCAGACGGCAGGTGCTCGGTCTGTGCGGGATGCGGCCAGGGCAGGCGAGCCCCTCCCTCACCTTCACACCCCAAACACATCCGACTTCCTGCACCTAATTCCCCACCCATCACTTAATCAGCCTTCTCCCCCAGGGCCAGCTGTGTCCCACATGTCCACTTGGCTGTGCTGGCGACATTTTGGTTGTTGCAGCTAGTCAGCAG